GGTCCCGTCGTATTTAAGTGAGTATATCCTGCATGCCATGCTCACTACTGCAGACGCTGAGGAATTCAGGCCAATGCCTTGTGAAGGAATGCTCACCAGTGAAGTCATGAATTATGTTGCTACTGATCACCCTATTGCAAAAGCTACTTGTTTGTGCAAAGATTCCCTGACATGAGCTGGTAGCATATTAAAGTGCATTTACTGAAATTTAATATGTGATTTCAGTGACATACAATTGAAATGTACTTGTAAGAACCAAAAGATAAATCCATGTAAAACAGGGCATAATTAAGAAAATTTGTTTTACTTTTAAAAAACCATACTAATAGCTCACCTTGTTTAGCAGCCTAAAGGATACAGATCTAAATTTTTCTAGTATTTTTTTTCATACGTGTGTTACTGTTAAGTCTTTATCTTTGAAATGAACACACAGAGGTACAAATACAATATTAACCAGACAGACTTTAACGCCTGTGTGTATTTAATACCTGTGTACTAGAGATGCCGCACACACCAGGCTGGCTGGAATGTGAGCTTTGGACTTGGGCTCCCCGGGTACGAGCGCCAGCTCTGGCTCTTGCCAGCTGTGGGTGCTGAGCAGACTGTCTTGTCCACGTGATTGTTTCCTTTGAGGATTGTTGTGAGGAATGAGATGGGTATCCAGAAAACACTCAGAATCACACTGAGCACAGACTCATCACTCAGTAAATGCTAGCCATTATTATTAACCACCTCTAATAAAAATAAAGTATTCCATCACATCTGCCTTTGTAGCTAATGGGCTGCATTAATCCAATTTGCACTCATTTGTCAAAAATATCCAAATAGTGTCATGTGAAATTATTCCTAACGAAAGAGAACGTTTTCTACAGCAGAGGGATGCTTAGCACCTTCAGAGACGCCGGTTTCTCTCCATGAGGCTACTGATTCCACGCACTTCAGATGTCGTAACTGGTACTCAGAGCCCTTAGAGATGTTTCCTGGGCTACTGCTTAGAAAGATCCCCAAGAACGCCTACAGCAAGCGCTGGCTTACAATGTGCTTCGTTATTGTATTGGTAGTTTGAGATCATGACACAGGGATTATGAGATCCTGGTGAGTTTACTAATTCTCTTTATTTTATATTTCGCTCAGCTCTGTTACCCCCAACTTCATTAATATGTGTCACCCCCAACTTCATTAGTATGTGTAAAAATGACAGGAGATGGTTGTACAACCATATTAACCACAGTGCTTATGCTTTTGCATCTGTTTTAGGGAAGGTTATATCATAAGGAATATTTGTATGCTAAACTTAACCTCCTTTCTAGCCTTATTAATTCTAGAAGTCACAGTAGTTATGAGAAGAGGTCCAGTCTAGTCTTGTTAATTCTACAATATGTGGTAGGCTAGTCTTATGTTGAATTTGAAATTGTAGAGTATGTTAGGACTTAGCGTTCTTAGTTCAACTCATCCATTCATATTATGGAGAGACAGGTAAACCACTGACAATTTTTTTCCTGGTTGGATTTTCCTAACCTTTTTCTTTAATTGAAGCAAAATCCACATAACTTGCAATTAATCATTATAAAATATATGACTCAGTGGCATTTAGTGTACTCCCAGTGTGGTTAAATAGCTACTGCTCTGTAGGATTCGAAACGCTGGGTCATATAGTAACTTTATGTCTAGCTTCCTGAGAAACCACCAAAACGTTTCCCACAGAAGCTGCATCATGGTACATTGCCAGCAGCAACACACAGAGGTCCTTATTTCTCCATATCTTTGCCAAAACGTTTTTCATTTTCTTGTTTTTATTAAAACCATCCTAGTGGGTGTGAAGTGATACACTGCTGTAGTTTTGGTTTGCATTTTTTAACAACCAATGGTATTCAATATCTGTTTATGGGCTTATTGGACATTGTGTACCTTCTTTGGGGAAATGTCTGTTCATGTTCTTTGCCCATTTTAAAAATTGGATTGTTTGTCTTTTTGTTGAGTTGCAAGAGTTCTTTATATATTCTGGACATTAAAACCCTTATCAGATATGTGATTTGCAAATACTTTCTCCCATTCTGTACGTTGTCCTTCCACATTCTTGATAAAACCCTTGGATGCACACATATTTTTCACTTTAATGAAGTCCAGTTTATCCATTTTTCTTTTGTTACTCATGCTTTCTGTACCAGATCTAAGAATTCATTGCCAAATTTATGTCAAATCTTCAAATTCGTACAGAACTGCAAGGGACCCCCAAAAGTCAAACATTATTTTAAAAAGAAAAACAGAGTTGGAGAACTTATGAATTCTGATTTCAAAACTTATCACAAAGGTACAATAATCAAAACAGTATGACACGGACATAAAGACAGCCACAGAGACCAATGGAACAGGACTGAGATTCCAGACAGAAACACAGACATCTATGGTCAACTGATTTCTGACAAGGATGCCAAGGACATTCCATGGGCCTTGAGGTTAAAGACTTTCTCTTTAACTAATGGTGTTGGGGTGACAGGGTGACCAAAGGCGAAAAAAATGGAGCCACGCCCCCGCTTCACTCCACGTCCAATAATTAATTCAGAATGAATCAGTGATCTAAATATTAGAGATAAAACAATACAACTATTAGAAGAAAACATAGGGGTAAATGTTCAGCATGGATAATTTCAATCCACGGATAATTCCCTACTCTAGTTAAAAACGAACACATTCTCCATAATAACTTTTGCCCCAAGATTACGGGGATGGTCGCAACACCGACTGATTGAGATTCATCTCTTTTCATCCCCCCTATCCGTTTGGATAAATACTCCATCAGACATGCCCTTGAAGGTAATCAGAAAGAAGATAAAGAATCAAGTACTTAGGCAAATCCTAACTAAAAGTTCAACTGTCCATAAGTAATAAAAAATAGAACTCAAATACACATCTTAAACCAAAGCCACCCTTTTGTTTCTAAATTCTTTTTCCAGGTTGATTAATTCTTCTCTTTCATCTCCCCTTTATCCACTAATTTTATTAGCAGTTGTTAATGTAGCAGATAGGAGCACAGTGCCTGGATTCAGAGGGCCTGGAGTCCGATCCCAGCCCGACCCCTTCCTTAGCTGCTTGTCATTTATTTTTCAGCTTCCTCATATTTTAAATAAGAATATTAGTGCCTACCTCATGGAGTTGTTTCCTAGCACATAGTGTGTGCTTCTTAAGTGTGTGCTATTATTCCTAGGACTAACAGAAGATGGATTAGGCCAGAGAGCTATTTCTATGCTTCCTAAAACACTGGTCCATAGTTACACACAGAGAAGCTAGAACAAAGCAGCTCATTTGGTGGCCATGATTGTGTGCCTTGTGAGCCTCCAACTACAGGGAGTGTAACTGACCGGGGGCCCAGCTGTGCTCTGAAATCCATCCCCACGTTTGCACAGAGGCCTCCCTTCCCACCAGCTGTTCCTCACCAGTAACGTGCTGGGGGAGGCCGTTCCTGGGGGCCTTGGGACTCCTCTAATGGCCAACTTTGGCTGGAGCACTCTTCGTCAAAACTCCCTTAGTCTGAAGGACAAGCGCGCTCGCCCTGTGGTGTCTTTGTTATGGGTCACTCGTGCATCATGGTCTGGGGCTTTCCCAGCCTTTCCTGGCTCCCTCCATATTTTTCTCGTGCTTTTCATCCCACCTTAGTGCCTGATTCCTACAGGACGTGGACTAATACAGTGTGGCATTCAAAGCTCTCGTGGCCATGACCTACATTCCACCTTGGTTCCCAGAGGCGCCTCCTGCTTTCCCAGCCGGGAGCCCGGGACCACGCCCCCTCACGGAGCTGGCGCTCACCACCTGGCCACGTAAGCCTCCTGAGTCCTGTTTGTCAGTGGTCACGCTTCTCATGTGTCACCTTCTCTAAGCCTCTCAAAACCTGGCAGCCAGGTATCCTCTTTCCCTTCTGGCAACTTCCAGGACTTTTGCCTTTGAGATTTTTAATAAGCTTATTAATAGTAATAACTATTTCTTACTTTGAAGCCCCAAGAGTCCCCAGCTTGTGTAGCACAGACACTCAAATATTTGTAAAATGTAATTGGAAAGTTGGAGGAAACTATTCTAATGAATTTAATTTTTAACGTTCAGGACTTCCAACAGCTCATATCCATTTGGCTTGATGTAGCAACACTGAACTTGAATGAATAAAAAAAAAATCCTGTGTATCCAAGCACTTAGGACAATGCAGCATGTAGTAACTCAATTTAAATCTCTGCTTAAAATTCATCATCTAATTTGGCTAATTTTTCCCCCCGGAGTGAGATGACATGAAATTCTCAAATAGTTTTGGGTTTGTCTGTGTACATGAACGTGGACCAGGGAACCAAGAAAAAAAGAGCTGTAAGAGAAATGCTTCCTCCTTTCACAGAGCGCCCTGGCCCTGGCACCTGGCGTTCCTGCCCTTGGGCCCCTCCAGAAAGGGAGAGGGAGGCCCTGGCACGTCAGTGAGCTTTCCTGGGGTAAGGTGTACACTCGGCCGTGTGAGCAGGCACCGGTGAGCGCGGTCCCCGGGGACTCTCGGTTCCCACACACGCCCGATCATCTCTGGCCCTTCTGTGGTTGGCGTTCATCGAGTGCATGTTGCTTTTGGTCCTCACCACAGACCCATCTGGTACAGGACAGGAAACGGAGGCTCTGTGACCGAGTCACACTGCTAGGTCACTGCGAGGTCACTGACCAAACCCTTGGGAAGTTTACTCTCGGTGTCCAAGAGATATGCTAATCATAGGACATTCCACTTCTTCCCCCAGCCTCACCACAGTGCTTTTTCGGGCAGCGTCCTTGGGCAGTTCTGCCCAAGGAAGGCGGCATAGGGTCGAAGGCCAGGTTGGGCACCTGGGCAGAGTGCAGCCCTGGTGCCAACTCAGCAGCTGCAGGTGCAGGCTGTGACTCTTTCACTCCGGGCTCTCACCATTTCCGGTTCAGATCACAAGGCTCAGGTAAGACTTCCTCAGGTGGAACGCAGGAAGAGGGTGGCTAGTGGAAGGATCAGATAGCACCTGCTGGGACGCTCATTTATTAATGATTTAACAAGGGCGATCACATGGGGCAGCTGCTTTTTTTTTCTCTGCCCTCATTTTCCTCGCCAGCAGACCTGACACGCGCACCAGATGGATGGGTCCAGCAAGGAGGAAGCGGAGGACAGCACCTTCACCAACATTCCCCTTGCGGATGACACAGGTAAGGGAGGGCCCGATGACCTCCAGACCACAAAATTCAGCAACTGCTCAGCGGCTTTTCAAAGGGATAATTTTTATTATGATAGTAAAACAGACTCATTGTAGAAAGCTTGAAAAAATATAGCTACAAAAATAAGACAAAAAGTTTTTATTTATGAGCTATTTTTTTCCTTTTAAATTAAGTGATTATTTTTAAAGTTCCCATGGTTGTGGTACATGGACTTTAAAAAAAGTAAATCAACACATAAAATTATAAAATATTTATTTCCTAAAAGCTCAGGAAACATGACTTTGAGGTTGTTACTAAAAACAACCTATGATATTATATTTTGTTCAATTAGAGTCAATTTCTTCCCTACTTTGTAAAATAATTTTTATCATTTCTGAAAAATAAACTAGAATGTGTTGCCAATCACTTACAGAATTGTTTCAGAAACTGTCTCGTTTTTAAGCAAGGGCAAAGTTTGCTACATTCAGCCTGAGAGAAGGAAAAAGGGGCGCGGCAGTTCTAAAATGCTGATGGAATAACTCCCCCCGAGAAATTAACAATGCTGGATTGTTCCCTGTTAACTGGAAACACTTCAGACCGATAAGCACCCACGTCTTGGGGTGTGTGTGTGTGTGTGTGTGTGTGTGTGTGTGTGTTTGGCCTGGTTTGTATCCAGTTCCTGCAGCACAATCCTAGTAAGAAGCCAGGACTGTGGCTAAGCCGTGGGGGTTACTGATTTTGATGAACAGAGAGCAGAGCATGAATATTTAACATCAATTGCTCTTTCACACAGCCACGCTTCTCCACTTTCTCTCTAAATGCTCAGATTCAAAAGGCCTCTTTCAAAGTGCAGCCAGACAATTAGCACAAACCTCCAGCCAGCCGGAGCTAAGCCTCCCCTCCTGGCACCGCATAAACATGCTGGGAGTTTTGGAAATCAAAGAGGAGCATTCTCAGCTTTTATGAAGGAAGGAAAGAGAGGGCGTTCTGGGGCTGTTGGAGCAAGGGGACACCTTGGCTCTAGCGTACTCTTTCCAAGAAGTTTCAGAAAATGACAGCTGCAGAAGGCAGCGAAGGAAGAAAACAAAGACCAGGGGAAACCCGTCTCCTGGCTTCTAGGAGGCGGGATGAGCCAGGAGCCTGTGCGGGGAGCCCTGCCTTGCCGTGGGCGGGCGCCCTGCACAGGGAGAGCTTGCTCGCTCCGAATTCGCCCGAGCGAGTTCTTTCTCCATTGTGACGTGCACTGGGCCCGAACGGGGGACCGTTGGTGCGGCTGGGCAAGGAGCCATCCTGAAGCCACTCTCTCCTCCAGTTCTGGGTGCGGCGGACAAAAGCATTGGAGGAGGGCGGGGGACCTGAGGTCAGGCGTTCTGTCCACTGCTGGCGCCCCTCCCAGTCGCTTGCTTGCTAACCGAGTCGGAGGCCGTGGACAGAAAGGCTGAGTAAGCTAGGACCGGGTAAGCGCTTCTCCTGGGTCGGCAGAGACAGTGGTGGCGCAGGGAGGGTCCCAGGGCTCCCGCTCGCACCCGCCGCCTCCTAGCGCTGGTGAGAGGAGTCGCAGACCCGTGGGGCACAGAGGGCCTGCGGGGATGGTCCCGCGCGGTAACTGGCGGCGGGCGCGGGGAGGAGCACTGACGGGTGCTGGTCCAGCCCTCCAAGGTGTCAAATAGAAATTGTTCGTCCACTGGTAACGACAGTGCGCCGAAACATCACGCGCTTTGGCTTTTGGAGACAATCGTCTCAATTTGATAACGGTAGCACTGGTTCTCCATGGTTAATCAGAGGTTCTCAATCTTTGATAAGTAAACACAGGAAAACGAATTATTAGGAAATGCAGCTTGTTTAACAGACGTGGTGGAGCCTATGCTAGCGTACCGTGTTAAAAACGTATGGCTTGTATTATTAAAAAGTTTAGTATAATTTATTACTTTTCTTCTTGCTCTACATTATATATATTACTATATACATGGAAAGGAGGTCCAGAGAGGTTCAGTGACTTGCCCAAGGTACACACTGGCTACCTATGTGTTGTGCTTGAAGCTGCTCGGCCTGGAGGCTGTGGGACAAGGAACGTTCATTGTTACTTCTGATTGGACGCCAGGCCTCAAGTACTCGGGCGCTAATTCCCAGTGTGGCTGCTTGAGACGCAGTCACGTGCCGCCCCTCCCCCCCAACCCCGAGTCATAACACTGTCTCTCACTCGGAGCACAGCAGGAGAAAGGAGAAGATAGGTGCTAACTCGGAGAGAAAGCTTTTTGGGAAGAGGACTGAAGGCATGACCTTTGGTGTATCTTCCAATCTAAATTACATTGGCGATCCTTCTCCCTGGCGGTCTGCAGGCAGCCAAGACCCAGCTGGCCGGGGCGGCAGTCAGCCACTCCCATCACGAGCCAGTTCAGGCTCCCTAACCCGTGAAGGTTAGTTGTATGGATTTCCCACCCGATATCTCCTATCTCCGTAGAAACAAGGTGTTAAATGACAGGATTCTAGAGCAGCTTTAACCCTACGCTTCCCAGACGGCGGGCCGAGGGGCCCCAGGGAAGCGTGGCAACCCCCCAGCCGCCCCCCCCATCACACCCTGCAGGAACGAATGGCTACAAGTTGTTCTCCATCTCACAGTAGATGAGTCACTTTTCTTCCACTGACATCTCTTTCAAAGCTGGGTTTTCTGTGGTCGCTGTGGTGAAAGCAAGTTCTCTCTTTTTTTTTTTTTTTTAAGATTTTAGGGAGGGAGATAGATAGATAGAGAGAGAGAGAGAGAGAGAGAGAGAGAGAGAGAGAGAGAGAGAGAGAGAGAGAGAGAGACATCAATGTGCGGTTGCTGGGGGTTATGGCCTGCAACCCAAGCATGTACCCTGGCTGGGAATCGAACCTGGGACAATTTGGTTCCCAGCCCGCGCTCAGTCCACTGAGCTACACCAGCCAGGGCGCAAGTTCTCTTTAAAATCAGCGCGGAACAGGTAATGAGTGGCGTGTCAGTCTGGGAAGAGGGGAGACGCCGTGAGATGCCCCGGAGGCTCGCCCATACGTCCCCTAAGTAGGTAACTGTGTGTTTCCAGAGTGAAATTAAAAAACGGAAACGTCTTTCCGTTGAGGCGTAGTGTTGTTTTCAAACGGTTACTGAGCTTGAAGGACATAAACACTTTTATTGAGGTGTTTGGACCTAAACAGCAAGGAACTCTGTAATATTTTTCTGGGCTTCGGAGCACTATGGAAAAACTGCTCAGGCTTAAGGGCAGCGTGAGCCCAGGCAGTCCGGGGGTCTCTGGGCCACGCCCCGCGGTAGCTGGGCCGGCCTCCCTTCCGAGGGAGATACAGACCTCCGAGCAAACATCTGACGGTGCTGACCTCTTTCCTTCCCGCGTCTCCGCTCGCTCGCGGGCTTGGGCGCTGCCATCCTGCTCAGGCTCCCCTCGAGCCTCTCTCTCATCATCCCTTCCTTCAGATGTTTCCTTAGGGTTCTACCCTTGGCCTCCTTTCTTCCCTCCCCAGACACACTCTCGGGACGATGTCACCCACTCCTCGGAGTCTCCTCACCGCTGTGTTGGGCGCCAGCGACTCAGGGACAGAGGGTGCGCATTGCAACACCCTGTGGGCCAGGCGATGTATTTGCAGAACAGAGGCAATGGTGTTTCCTCGTTTATTTTATTCAGTTTTCAAAATAAACTACTGATATGTCTATTCTTCTTTCAGTTTATTGGCTTTTTCATCATGCATCATTTTTTTAGTTAAATTTGTTTTTTTATTCCGATGGGGTAAGAACGTTTAACATGAGATTCTACCCTCTTAACAGATTTTTAAGTGTATGATAGGGTATTATATCACAACGTTATACATCAGATCTCTAGAACTTACTCATTTTACACACCTGAAGTTTTATACCTGTTGATTAGCCACTGTACCTTCCCCAACCCCCCAACCTGCCACCAGCGACTGCAACCATCATCCTGTTCTTTGCTTCCCGGAATTTATGTCAGATTCCTCACACCTCCTGTAATATAAGTGGAATCCTACATCATTTGTGACTGGCTTATTTCACTTAGTAAAATGTCTACGAGGTTCCTGTTGTGGCGTATTGCAAGATTTCTTTCTTTTTTAAGTCTTAGTAATATTCCACTCTGTGTGTATACCACATGTTTGTTTACCCAGTCACATGTTGATGGACATGTTTCCACATCGTAGCTGTTATGAAGGTGCAGCAATGAACATGAGAGTGCTAATATCTCTTTAAGATCTTGATTTCAATTCTTTTGGATAAATATCCAGAAGTAGGAATGCTGGGTCACATGGTAGCTTGTTTTTGAAATTTTGAGGAACCTCCATAATGTTTTCCATAGTGACTGCATCATTTCGCCTTCCCACCAACAGTGTAACAAGGCTCCGATTTCTCCACATCCTCACCATCACTCGCTGTCTTTGTTTCTTTGATGGCCACCCCAGCAAGTGTTAGTGAGGTGATCACTCATGGTTTTGATTTGCATTTCCCTGCCATGTAGTGACATGGAGCAAGTTTGCACATGTCTGTTGGCTATTTGTATGTCTTCCTTGATGAAGTTCCAGTCCTTTGCCCATTTTTAATCAGGCTTTTAGTGCTTTTATCCATTCTGTGAGTTGCCTTTTTACTCTTGCTTGTTTCCTCTAGTGCGCAGAAACTTTTTGGTCTGATGTAGTCTCAACTGCCCATTTTTGCTTTTTTTGCTTGTACTTCTGGTGTCACAGCCATGAAATTATTGCCAACATCAACATCATGACACTTTTTCTTTATGTTTTCTTCTAGAAGCTTTATAGCTTCTGGTCTTTCATTTAAGTCCTTGATCCATTTTGAGTTGTTTTTTTTACTTTTTTTATTTTTTTGGTGTATGGTGTCAGATAAGAGCTCAGTTTCATCCTTTTGCATGTGGTTGTTCAGTTTTCCCAGCACCATCTATTGGAGAGACTGTCCTTTCCCCACTGAGTGTTCCTGGCTCCCCTGCTGAAGATCAGTTGACCCTATGTGTATGGGTTTATTTCTG